CAGCTCGGTGCTGTGCCCACGGGGGCTCTGCAGCGAAGCAGCACCGAGCTGGGGCTGTATCTCCCAGGGTGTCTCGGTGGTGAGTGCATCCCCCCGAGGGACAGCCCTGCCGGGCAGTTCTCTGTTTCCGAGGCGAGGGATGGATCTGGAAAGGCTTAGCAAGGTGCTGGTTGTGTTGCTGGGAGTTCATCCCTCTGCCGTGTGAACCTTTGGAGTCTCGCGGAGGGGCCTCTTTTGGCGAGCTCCCAGCTACGATCAGCCTTTGCCCCGAGCCTGGGACAAGGGATGGAGCTGGCTGGTATGTGGGATTGACCTCTGGGGAATCCCTGGTGCGGGTGGGAGGGCTCAGCCTGTTGGAGGGGGATGCCGTGGAAGACTCTGAGGAAGTACTCATGTACAAGAAGGGTAGGATTGGGGACAGGTCCTTGAGGTGTGAGGAAGGAGGTGTCCACCACAGAGCTGCTCCTTGATGTCAACCCTATGGGCAGGTCAGGGCTCTGAGGGGCCTTGAAGGGGGAGATGAAGTGGGAGCCAGGGAGGAGAGGCCAAACACACTGCCAGTATCCCTTGAGTCCTGTTAATCCAAGTGAACTGGGAGGTGATGTTTGGATGTTGAGGGTGCTCCTGTGCCTGAGCTGTGGGGTGAACCAGGGGTCTGGAGTCACCCCTGGGACTCTGAGCAGGAAATGACCCTAATGGCCAGACCTCAGAACAGGCAAATTCACCTTTTCTCTGACACTGAGGTGTTCTGGAGACAGTTAATGTGGCAAGAGGGCATCCTTCAGTGGGAAGCACTCAGCACACCTGAGCTCTGCAGCAGCTGCTGCTGCCCCATGGTGCCCCATGGCTCATGAGGCAGAGCCCTCAAAAGTCAGGGCATGGCAGGGTTGAGGCCTAGGGTGTACCAGGGAGGGTTGGGGGCAGCTTCAGCCTTCAGAGAAGCAGAGGAAGCAGCTCCTCAGCCCCTCTCCATCCCTGTTTGCAGGTGGTGAATTACGCACCATTCACGCTGCTCCCATCCGCAGTGCCACGGGCCCTGTTTGAACAAGCTTATGCTGTTCAGGAAGATTTTAACCTGCTGGTGGATGCCATCAGTCAAAACAAAGAGTTCCTGGAGCGAACTCTGGCCAGGTAACGTTTTTGCATGTTGCATTTTAATGAAATGTTTCAAGTTCAAAACATTTATCACCTTTAAGGCACTCCTACCTTCCATCCCTTTGTGTCCCTCGTGCTGAGGTGGGCTCTCCTTCGTCTCCTTTTGTTTGTCTCCTTGCTGCATTATTTGTCCCAAGATGAATTCCCATCAAGTGTCTGTGTTTTGAGGTCTCCTTGGGCCTCAGAAATTGAGACATGTGGCCAAGAGCTGACTCCCTGCAATGATCTTCAGTTTTGTCAATGTTTCAGGCTTGTGATTTCTTACTTGTGAGCTTATTGGCCCCAGGGCCTTAAATTCAAACCAGTGGAGTCTTTGAGTCCTGGATTTAGAAGTCTCTTTTAGTCTTGTTTTGCATCTGCCTGTGGCTGTCCAGTGACCACCAGCCCTGCCTGGCCACAGCTGTGGAGAGGAGGTGTTTGTTCCTGCCCCTACACCAGCCCCCGATCAGTCACCCTGTGTCTCCTGCTTTCCCAGCCACCAGCTCTGGGTGCTGGAGGACTGTCCAGCCTGTGGACTCCGCTGGATTTATCTGTGGCTGTTGCCGTGGGCAGGAGTGACCATTCCTGGCTGTGTGCCCCGTCATTGTAGGGCTGCTGCTTCCACAAACCCCACTTGCCCTGCTGCTGCCTGTTCTGTGCTGCCTGTCTGTGCAGGTGCTCCTGGCACTCTGGCACTGGGACAGAGCAAAGGAGGCAGTTTTCCAGCATCCTTTTGTTTTCCTGAAGCCTGACCCCTCGAGCTGTTTCCACGCTCGTGCCTGTTCCAGAGCTGGCAGCAGCCAGAGCTTGTTGGGGCATATTTATGCCTGTGGTTAAAGAATGCAGCACTTGGAGCCTGTGTGCACTCAGGTGCCTGCCCTGTGCCACCTCTTGTGGAGGTGCTGCTCATGCAGCTCAGGGATTTGGGACCCTGAGGAGAAGCCAAGCCTACTCCAGCAGGGCCAAAGTGTGCAGGATTTGGAGCCTGACAGGACAGGGGGCATTGGATGAAGCTTCTCTGAACTGTGTGTACAGGCACAGAGAGACTTGTGGTTTCTTTCCGTGTAGGTGCAGAATTTTATTGTGTTTCATTGGCTTTGCCTTTGCCTGTCCTGTCCCTGCCCTGCAGTGAGTCACCTCTGCACAGCTCTGCCTAGTGTGCAGTGCTGGGCAAACTGGGTTTGTGTGTGGTTCTGCACTGTGACTTCATGGGGAGATGTTTCACAGTGCTGTAGCTGTGCTGTTTGTGCTGGGGAATGTCCCTGCTAAGGGTTTTTTTTGGTGGAGAAGAATGAATTTTCTTATTCCCCTGTAACAGCATCAGGGAACTGATCTGATCTGTGTTTCCCTCTAGCACCATCAAGGTGGATGACTTCACAGCTCAACTCTTCAGGATCTACATGCAAGTTTTGGAGGAAGGCTTGGCTCAGGTACCTTGTCAGGGGATCCCAGTGATCCATTCCCATTGGCATTGTGGTGGGATTGCCTGGGCCCTGGCTGCAAGCTCTGGCACTGTGGACTTCGAGCTGTCCCCAGGCCAGGCTGGTCGCTCCCTGCTCTGCGACGTCTCGTCGCAGCCTGTGAGCTCAGGACCTTGCCCCGTTTGAAGCCATGCCCTTTGGTTAGTGCAGCTGGGAACAGTCTGGCCTGGAGTGGGAAGATTTCATGGGGTTTGTCTTGTTGTCTTGGTCCTCTGGGAGCCATGGCAATGTGCTGTGTTGGGACCTGTACTGTCCCTGCAGGGACTCCTGTACTCTCAAGAGTGTTGCTGACTCTAGAGCACTGAGAGCCTTGTAGGCCCTGACCAAGGGCCAGAGCACCCATGGGCATATCTTTCAGAGGTTTTCATCAAAATGAAAGTGACTGCATCTGTCCCAGAAGGATTTTGGAGTGAAGTCACCCAAAGGATTTGTAATTCAAGGCAACAGGAGAACTCCCCTGCCCTCCCCTCTGTTCCAGTCTGTGTTTTTAGGCATCAACCGCTCTGACTACATGTTTGACTGTGGGGTGGATGGCACAGCAGCTCTGAAGCAGATAGAAATAAACACCATTGCTGCCAGCTTTGGGGGCCTCACCTCCCGCACTGCAGATGTGCACAGGTAAGGGAGCACCTCTGGCACTGAAGCAGCTGCACTGCTTGGCTTCGTGTGCTCTCCAAACTCTGCTCCCTGTGTCCAGCCAGGGGCTGGCATGGCCTTTACAGCTCTTTTTTTTTCTTTTTTTCCCCACAGGCTGGTGTTGAAAGTACTGGGAAAGACTGAGGAGGCATCACACCTGCTGCCCAACAACCCGTCAAAGGGACTGGCCTTCGCAATTGCAAAAGCCTGGGAGCTCTATGGTTCCCAGAGGTAAGGAGAGAGGAGGAGAAAAAAAACAGTGCCTGAATCACACAGATGAAAAGCTGGTGGTCCTGGGTGCATGTGGAGTGTTTCTGGGTTTAATGGTGCCCTTTGGTATCTCTTCCAGTGCTGTGGTGATGTTCCTGGTGGAGGAGGTCCAGAGGAACATTTTTGATCAGCGATGTGTAGAAGAGGAGCTTTGGAACAGGTAAAGGATGAATTTTCCAGGGATGAGAAAGGAAAGAGGTGGTTCAGTTTTGGGAAGGGGAAGCAGGGCTAACAGCTGTCAGATCATGGTGTTTCCCTCAAGCAGCTTGTGGGGAGTCTCCAGGCTCTCCAGCAGGCACCATGTGGTGGCAGGAGCGTAGCAGGGCAGGGAAAGATGGAGGTGTGCAGAACCCATTTGCTTTTTACTTTGTCACCTGCTCAAGGATAAAGTCAAAATATTTGATGGTGTTTGAGGCTGGGAGAGGGACTGTCTTGGTATGAAACAGGCTATGATCTGGGGCCTGTCTCTGTGGTCTGTTACACAGCTCCCTTCAGTGTCCCTTTGGTTGCCTCCTGCCTGGCCTCAGCACCCACCTGTGCCTGTTCACCAACCTCCCAAAGCTTCTCCCCAGCTCTTGGCTGGGAATACCAGCAGCCCTCAAGGCCTCTGCTGTCCAGGGCTTATTTCTTGCTTTGTCCCCGTGCAGTCCAGGGAGCTGTACCAGTGAGAGCTTTGCAGTGGGTGGGACAAGTCTCTTAGACAAGACGCTTGGAAACATAGGATGGCACTGGAAATGTAGGATAGGTCCCAAAATAAGGATTGTTCTGCCTGTAGGACTGCTCTGAGTCCATAGCACAAAGCCTGAGGTTATTTGTGAAGGAACCTACAGATCCTCCTTGCTGTGATTTCTAGTTCAAGTAACTGTGCCCATCCTGGTGACTGTCCCACTCCTCTCCCCACAGGAATATCCGGGTGATCAGGAGGCGTTTCCGAGATGTGTTTGAGAAGGGCTCTCTGGATGGCAGCAGGAGGCTGTATA